GTACATTTTCCCATATGAACAAGTAGCATCTTGAACCATTTACTAAATTCTTCCTCAACAACCTCTAATTCCAAAACATAAAATAGAATAAAATAACGCCCGTGTGACAACTGCGATGTCCAGACGGTGGTGGCAGAAGCCCAGCCAGCACACTGATCTCCTTTCCGGCTGGCACCTGGCTTACCACACTCACACTCACCTGCTCGGGCTGCCTGGACCCGACTGTTTTCTCCTCTTCTTTATTTCTCTTCTCTCCCTTGCCCTCCGCCACCTATCCCCCCATTGAAGGATTCTGATGGAGAGGGAGCGTGGGAGGTACCACGAGGCAGGAAAAGGCCATATGGAAATGGGGGGACACGCAGGACAGAGCTTCCCATGATCTGTGGTTGCGGTGGCTGCTGTGGCACAGAGAGGGGAAACTCAGAAGAGGTCTGCGATGGAGATGTCCTGGGGGCCCAGACACCTGCCACTGCAGCGTCCTGCAGCTCGGGCCCCACGCTCCCAAATATCCTCACGTTGTCTTCCAAAGTCTCAGTGGCCCGAAGCCATCGCGAATGAAGCGCAGTTCTGCTCACCTCTAATTGCAACACCAGGTGCATGGCTGGTCTCCACTCTCCTGCTCCAAGCTCTGCAGCTCCTCGAGGCCAGAGCAATGAGGGAGCATCTGGAAATGGGGACAGGCACATGTGTATGGTTGAGAGGGGAGAGGAGGAGACAAGAGCCCCCGTCTGCAGAGCGTGCCACCTGCAGAGCGTCCGCAGCCAGGCTAAGGTGAACAGCATCACAGACAGCACAAGGCCGGTGGCTTTTGCGTCACGTCCTGGCGATCTGGATCAATCTGATGGTTCAGCTGGGCCTGGCGGTCTGTGTCAGTTGTGCAGGCAGCTTCACTACAGAACAGACTGCATCAGAACATGTACTGATGAACTGACAAGAAAGAGGAGGGAGGGGGAAACACCGTAGTCATGAAGACCCCCAACCGTGGGCAGACCCTGGCAGAGCACTGCTACTTCTTGCCACGTTTGCTGGTTTATTATTTGGAGAAATGCAGAATGAACACACGACGGCGAGTCCACTCAGACACAGGACCTTCTTGCATGGAGACTGGCTGCGTGGAGCTTAGACGCGTCGTCAGGTGGTGACTTGGTTCATGAAGGTGGACAGCAGGGTGGGGGGCCACCAGCCCATCAGCACTGGGTCTGAGGTCACTGATTCACATTCTCCCCTAGCACATGAAAGGGTTTGCATAAAAAAAATCTCAGGTTGAATATTTCTTCTTCCTATTTTTTTTATTGAAACACGATTGTACATATCTGCAGGGTACAGCATTGAATATCAATACCTGTGTGCAATATGTGATGCTCTCATCAGGATAATCAGCATATGTTTCAATAAAAAAAAAGAAAAATACTCAATCTAAATGAGATACATGAAAACGAAAAGAAATCTCAGACATCTGTTTATTTCGTATTTGAAATACTATACAGAGAAATATTTGTTTTCCTCAATTTTGTTTGATTATAGAAATTATTATTCTTGTTTTTTTTTACTATGTTTTTAAAGTTGATAACATTTAAAATGTAGGTGATCAATCATCCTAGTGTTTTAGGGCTGATTGAGCCTTAGAAATCATCCAAGTGTCCTCATCTTCCAGGTGAAAAAAGCGACATCCAAATTGAAGGAGAGATGTCCCCTCAGTCACACGGCAGGACAGAAACAGAGCTTCTCCACTCTTGGCAATACACAGTGTTAGCATCTTCCAGGACACGGGATTAATAATATCATCTTTATTAGAATATGAAATATTCCCAAGCAATAAGAAAGAAAATATTTTCTAAAAAGCACAAAATGTTTTCTGCTGCCTTTTACTACCAGTGCAATGGATCTGGATTGTCTAGAAGTAGTGACACTAGAAACAATAATACAATAGCTTCCAAAACTGTAAGGAGCGACACATTTGCTGGATAACTATAAACCTGCATAATAATAAAAATAACCATGAATTTATTATTATTATTATCATTATTATCATTATTAAGGCATCACTATCATTCACTGTGCACCTGGAGCATGCCAGGTACCATACTAACCTGTTCGCATCATTTTTTTCCCATGTCATCCTTAAGGCAACCTGTGAAATGTGTATGTTTCTCATTTTAGAGCTGATGATGCTGGAGTATA